CCCCCCCCCCCCCCCCCCCCTGACAAACAGCCTGTTTCTTCTTCAAACCTGAAAGAGATATCGGTGTTCTAGGTTTGCCACTCATTTCACAGCTCAGATGCATTTGAAACAAACTAAGTTATCTTCATATTTTCACATTGCCCATCTGTTCAAGTCCTCTGAATAAGTTGGCAATCAATTTAGTTTTCTTATATACAAGGTGTCAGGCTCAGTCATTTCATTTGTGTCATGGTGCAGTGGAATCCGGCACTCGTCAATTTTTGGGCATTTGGAGTTATTGGTATCATCTTAAAGCTGTTTCCTTTGTGTACCTTTTGATAAAAACAAAACCCATCTGTCTTGAATAGAAGTCGAAATATTATGATTGAAGGAGATAGGGATCGCCTGGTTTCAGAGGTAAAATTAGCGAGAAATGGCCGCCAAAGATTGGTGACTTCCATAGTTTGAGAGACCTTGGAAACTGAAAAATTACTTTTTATGTGCCTCTAATCAGAGGTTTTCAGAAAAATCAACAAAGAATTGTATTAATAAATGGACATGAAAGTTGTTTTGTGAAAAACTAAAAAAATTTGTAAAAATTGCCTAACCAGCGGGAAAATGTCGGTTTCTTCGATTTCATTTATTTAATGAACTCCTGATTTCACCAAGTGGCCTCACATATTGTTTCGTGTTGTGCCAGGGAGAATACACGATAAGAACGGAAGACATCCTTGCAGTGATAGAGAGGGAGGGAGACAAGATTGCTGTGGTTTGTTTCGCCGGAGTTCAGTACTACACTGGCCAACTCTTTGACATTCCGACCATCACCAAGGCTGGCCAGGCCAAGGTAAGAATCTTTCCTCTGTGTGTGTGTGTATGTGTGGTGGTTGTGTGTGTGTGTTCGTGTGTGTGTGTGTGTATGTGTGGTGGTGTGTTAGCGTGTGTGTGTGTGTGTGTGTATTAGTGCGTTTGTGTGTGTGCATGTGTATGTGTGTGTGTTTGTATGCATGTTTGTGTGTGTGTGTGTGTGTGTGTATGTGTGGTGGTGGTGTGTTAATGTGTGTGTGTGTGTTAGTGTGTGTGTGTGTGTGTGTATTAGTGCGTTTGTGTGTATGCGGGTGCGTATGTGTGTGTGTGTGTGTGTTTGTATGCACGCGTGTGTGTGTCTGTGTGTTTGCATTTCAGTGTGTGTTTAATTGTGTATATGCATGTGTGTGTGTCCGTGTGTTTGTGTTTCTGTGTGTGTTTAATTGTGTATATGCATGTATGTGTGTCCGTGTGTTTGTGTTTCTGTGTGTGGTTAATCGTGTATATGCATGTATGTGTGTGTATGTGTGTCCGTGTGTTTGTGTTTCTGTGTGTGGTTAATCGTGTATATGCATGTGTGTGTGTTGTGTGAAGACATCAAGTGAAAAAACGGCAAAGTCACGTTTTGATGATTTTGAGAAATCTCAGTTTTAAAGTTTTAAAGTTAAGGATCTCGTATCTTGAAGAATTTAAATATGTTCTTTTGTTCATTTTTACAGAAACCCTGCTGTCTTTCCCTCTTTAAAAATTGATGTCGTATTTGAACTGTTGTGGTGGGTGGTTGGCATGTGCTCTAATTTTAGTAAGAGTTTTATATCTCTTGCAACGCGATAGGGGCACTAGTCGTGCCAAAAATTGGAGGTGTTACAAGAGAGTAACAATAACAAACACAAAAAATAAGTGAGGCTGATAAGGGCGATAGATTACAAAAATTGATAGGAAAGAAGGAGCAAACCACAACAGAGCTCCCACCAGCCTCCCACAAAATGCCTTTCCCAGTGATGCAGCATCGGACTTTATGCAGACATGAAGCGTGCTGACAAAATCAGTTACTTCTCGGATTCGAGCCCTGTGGAAATAGATGCTTCATGCTTACAGGTGAAGTTGCTACAATTTATAAGTATGAAATAATAAAAGGTATGTTATGCTTAAAAAGAATAATATGACATCAATTGAAAATCTTCGAATTTGACCCCTGTGTTGATTTTTGGCCAATATCTCCATTTATGGATTGCTAGAAGTAACTCGTTTTGTCAGCACACCTCAAGCAGTATTTTTCTCTCCTGTTTATGGTTTTCTGTTTCGTTTCTTAAAAGAAATTTAGAAATATACTTTTCGCTGGACTGGTGCATCAACTACATTTCATCACCATATCTTTGTGACATGGTCATCGAATAAAATATTCCATCTCGGCCTTTAAGATTGGCGAAGAAAAGACTTTTAAGACCTGTCCAATGCAAAAGTCAGAGA